GAAAAAAATATTTTAAAAATATATTTCATTAATAAATTAAAGAAAAAATTATATGTAAAAATAGCTAAAATGGTCCTCTACAGTAACTTCAGCCAATACAGCCAGAAAAGTAACTCCAACCTTACTTTTTCGGCTTATTACACAATTCAGCGCGCGAAAGTAAAAATTACGTGTTTGGTGAAAAAGCTGGCTGATAAGCCTGATAAGCCGAAAATAGAGTTCTCCAAACGGGCTCAATATCTTATTAACACACTTTATATAATTGAAATAGTATTCTAATAGGAGTATATAATACACACTTCACAAAAATACTATTATGCTTAATTTGCTATAGTTAGTTATACTAATATAAATATAAATAATATAAATAATACAAATAAATATAAATATAACTAAATATATATACACACATATATATACACATATATATAGGTCAGCCTGTTGAGCTAAAAGGGCTTTAGAGTTGGGCTAAACCTGGCCTATTTTGGTAAACGGGCTTTTCGAAAAGCTCAAGCCTACTTTGATTATTAAACAGGCCAGGCCACAGGCCGCCTGACCTATTCCCACCCCTATTCTTAGTTCTCAATGATGATACTAGAGACATATCGGCTAGTTTCACTTGCTAGCATTTCAGTTTCTCGTGTGAAGCGGTCTGCAAACCGCATGGCTCACGGATTGACGAGAGATGTTGGTTCTATGTCTGATCGCTACGTTTGACTTTTTAATCATCCTTCTTGTATTTCTACCTCTTTGAACTATAATCTGATTAATAATAATTAATATTTTTCCTTTCAAAAAAAACACAAAACAAAGTTAAACACATCATAAAAAATCTGATAGTGAAGTCGGCATAATATTTTACTTTATCAGACAAGACTTAAATTACTACGGAATGTATGAGACTAGAATTGAGCAATTAAGCTAGACTCTTTCAAATAGGTCCAGTTAAAACTATATACGTCTATATACGTGGTTTATTTACTAAAAAAAGACTAGGCTTGATTTGTTTGCAAGTAAACTTGGGATTTTAATATTACTAGAAATTCGGAATTTATAATTTGCAATTTACGATGAACAAAAGTAAAGTCTAACTAGAGCTTCTTCATAAGCTCAAAAGTGCTCAAAAATTCTAGAAAACAGTGACCTTAGTTTCATCTCGCAAGTAACTATTTGTATTTTCAGTTTCATTCTATGACGATTTTCTTCTTAGGTTTATCTAACTCTTAAGGATGTTTTTACTTGGACTATAATTTGTCCCAGACCAGTCCAGACCAGACCAGTTCAGACCAGACTAGACCAGACTTGGATAGTTATAAAAATACAAAGAAACCAGACCAGACCAGACCAGTTCAGAACAGACCAGACCAGATCAGACCAGACCAGACCAGCAAATTACAGTCCAAGTAAAAACATCCTTACTGCAAGTCATGTTTGTATATTAGTTTTACATACTTTTATATGGCATTAAAGTTGTTTGTGTCTCAAAATAAATTTCAGTATTAATAGTGATGTCGTATTATGGTGTAGTAGAGTTCGTATCAATAGAGAAGGGTAATTATATTCTTCTTGTATAGTCCGCATTCTAAGTTTATACTATCGTATGACTTAAGAATATTAAAACACTAAGATGAATGCATTATATGATCAATACGATAAAGATTTGATTTTGCTACTTTCCACTTGTTGAAATGTTTATTGATATTGGTTATTTCCTTAATTATCCGTTCTAGGATACTCAATCATGAATTATTTCCAATTTATAAAGGATAACAATTAATAACGAGGCATTCATTAATATATAACTCTTACTATTAGTCAAGTGTAGAATAGACTATATACCAACTTGATAGTAGCATTTAGTTGATCTCATAAAGTCTTGATGAAATCAAGTAAGATCAACACCCATCAACATGTGTAATCTATCGGTGTAATCAGTTTAATTAATTCAGCTTTGAATTATTAACCAAGAGAAGCATGCATTACTAATCTAAAGTTAGCGCATGTGAAATAAATCAATAATCATTGATTAACCATCGGCTCATTGATTGTTTCTAGTACTAATTGATGTTAAAGTATTAAGTAATCATCACTTAGCAACACTCCAACATTAAAATAGAGATATGAGTATGGAAAAATTAATACTCAAGAAGAGACATTTGATAAAATAATTCACAACTTTAGCATTCAATAAGCTTCAAGATAGCAAACCCAAGATAAAGAAGTTTAGCTCCTCATTTGGAATCTAAACATGCTACAATATAAAGGAAAATACTAATCTAAACAGAGTTTTATGATATGGAAGAATGAATTATGAAGTGGGAAGGAAAGTGGTGCTTTTATAGAAGAAATAGTGAGGTTGGGTCGGATACCCGATCAGGTATCCATGGCAGTATCACAGAAGGTCACTTTTTGCGTCATACCTGAAAAGTGACGAGCAAATTTGGCACACAAATTTTCTTAGACGTTCAATTGTTCTCCGGATAGGATTTGATATATATTCAAGTCAGGTCAATACTCGATCGGGCAATGTATATACCTAACCGGGTATATGAACAAATCAGAATTTTTTCATTTGTCTTGTCCTTTTACACCTTCAATTCATTGATCCTTCGGGATTCATTCATGATCTTTTGGTTAATCTATGACTGATATTTACTCAATACATTCTAATCTAAACAAATTACAACTAACTAAGATAATAAATGATATATTGCACAGTAAATGTGCCATTGCTTCAACAACATACTATTAAAACTAACTAAAAGTAAAACATCATCATCATTACCCCAGTGCCGCAAAGGCTCCCACCTAAGGTGGGGTATGGGGGTCGGATGTACACAGTCTTACCTCTATACTAAAATACAGAGAGGCTGTTTCCGGATGGTTCATGGTGAAAATCGCGTAAAAAATTGGTTAAATTGACTGCTGCTTCATAACAAATAAGTGCAGATAATTTAGTGAGTCATTTTGTTGTATTCTATCATATTTTCAAGTCAAAAAATATTAAGTCTTTAACTCTATTACAAATAATGAAAATAAATTAAAAGTAAAACATAAACAGTCAAAAACTAACATCATCAAGTTCGTAATTTTTTTCTTTTGAGGAAAATCATCAAGTTCTGATTAAAACAAAAAAAAATACATCTTTATTAGAACAAATTCTATAATGGAGAATTGCCTCTAGACCGTAAACCCTTTCTAATACAACTGTTTTGTTAGAATGTTTCCTAATTGAGCAATATCATTATCGAGAGTGAATTTTATTTTAAGTTTTTTAAAATAATGTAAATGAGTGGTCTTTTATTTTAATACCGAGAAATCATATAGACAAACTCAGACAGTTAGAGCTAGTCGTAAGATTTAAAAATAGACATAGAATCATACACCTCATACAATGTAACATGATTCGTTAGACACAAAATGGGCAAATTTAAGCATAAAACAACCGGAGCTGAAGCAATGTCTATCAAAAGTACTCCAAAAATTCAAATATTCAAACCAAATCTATTCGAAGTAAAATAAAAATAAGTACCACCAAAGAAAAAATAAAACTAAAATAAAGTCTTTTCACAAAACTCTTCCTGGCACGGAGGTGCTTGTGGAGGAGGACGAGCTATACAATTTTCCACGCAATCCAAAAGAGGGTAGATAGGAATCCCTGACCAGACGAAGCTGGCCGGGACACCAAAACAACTTCCCACACTGAGAGACACCAAAACATCTCGAAACGTCAGTGCCCAAGAAAGAATCATCATAGCACAGAACAAACACAAACAGAAAAAAAGAACAGTCCGGCCAGTTGGGTCATACCCGTTCAAAGAGTCTCGGAGAATTGATGTCACCTAGAACAAGACATGGAATCCACTACCTGCTCTGATGCGTTCGTGATCTTTGAGCTGCGTCGAAACAACGGGAGAAGAGAGGGGCTATAGCACAACCGCCTTCTCTTTTATTTTAAGTTTGAAAAACATAACTTTATGAACTTATTTAAAATCCAATTAGTTGATTTATTATCTAATTCAAGCTAGAATTGAAGATATTTTTAAATTAAACTTTCTAATCTGAGCAAGCATGGTTGATATGTGTTTTATTATTATGTAACTGTGATCTCATTTCTAGTTCTGTTCTGTTCAAACTTGTATTAGTTTGACCTAAAACTGAAACCATTCCAATCAAATTATCTGTATCTTACAATTTTATATACGGAGTAATCGACTGTTTTAAATATTCCGTATATTGAAATCAAAATCTTAGAAAACCATTTGACGTGACATGAACAAATGCATGAATGGGTGAATAATTGCCATTCTATCAAACACTGTAAAAAGAAAATAAAAATAAAGAAAGGATCAAACTTTTGTCCAATCCATTTTGGTGTCTCTCTTTCTTTCAGGTTGTTCCTAAATAAAAGTTTCATTTTTTTCGTAAATAAAACAGTGCAAAACAATACAAAACAATGTTAAAAATGTCTAAACAATGTCAAACACTTTCAAACAATCTCATTTCTTACGGAAGAAGACGAATATCTTGAAAATATATTAAAAGAAGTGAGAGGAGAGCAACTAATGGAAGGGGAATGTGCCACGTTCCTGTAAAATGTGAACTCTGGATAGGCTAAATAGCAGATTCTAAAACCAATCGGTTTTGGATTTTGTTTGCCAAGATTAGAATTCTTATCCATCAGACTCCAAATTTGGCTTACTCTAAGAGATCTAAGAAATTTTCAAATATGTTTATCTTTTTTGATATTTTTTGATAGTAAACGAAAAATCTCATTATTCAAGTAAATCGCTGTGAAGTAAGTTTAGAATCCAATTCGAAGCTTGCTCAAAAATCAAAATTAGAGCGACAACCAGAAGTAAAAAAGTTTGCCCAAGTAAAGCATGAGCAGCTGAACGCTTATAACATAAAATCTTAAAATAATTATGATTTTCAAGAATGCAATGGATATCATTCAAAATCATCTCAAAGATTTGTGAGTTATTATAATTAAAAATACATCCAAATAAAAATAAAATTCATTGAAGTGTTGAATTGTTACATATTGCAGTTGTTGTGTAAAAAGATTTACGAGGGATATAACAGATAAATTAGAGTTATTTTTCGAACTCCACGTTTTTTTATAATAATTCTCTTGCAGATAGTTGAGTTCTTATTTCTAGATCAACAAATCCACCAAAATGTCTTGAAAACAATATCCGCTATCAAAGTCCCAAAATAGATTTTTAAATCTGAACATATATATTTGAATGCCTCACATTCTATATCTACAGTCTACACCATGAAGTGTAAAGCTGGTTTCTTCCCATCGTCCTCTTCATTTCCACCCTTATGCTGGAAAAAGTATCTTCGAAAAAACAAATTTGCTTGCTGCAATAAGGTACTACCATGGTTAAATAACCAGACACAGTTTGGAATTGACCGCTCCGATACAGATTGGATGGAGCCGAATCCTCCAGAATGAGTAGCTCATGATAATTACACCAAATCATTTCTTGCTCTAAACTTTTCCCATTTTCCCCACTATATTTGTGATTTATGTTATGAGCGAATGAACTTGTAGCGGTCAAGATGAGTCCAATCCGATCACTTCCATTGCCTCATCGATGGAGAACCCAGTGGAGGATAGGGAAAAGAGAAAAAAGGGAAAGAAAAGAAGACCAAAAAGAGAAGGGAACAAAACAAAATATGAAAAGCACAAGAATACGGAGTATAAGCTAGGCTGTAGTGGTTGACAGCCAATATAAACTCACCATCGACTTTTTAGCAATGGGTGACATATAAAATCACTGGCAGCAGTTTGGTTGATTCTCTTTCTGTAGTTTCTCCCACAGGCAGAGCACCATCCTTGGATTCTGATAATGTGCAAGAATGTAATTTGACTCACAGCCATCATTGTAGAACCGATCGTCGTGTACGTATTGCACCTTGTGACCCTTTTGTTTGAACTCTTCAATCCATATGCCCACAGCAACGTCTTCGAGTTTAAAAAGCTGGACACATGAAGGGAACAAAGTAAGAACAAAGGTAAGATAAACCAATACATATATTCAAAAGTGTGTGGGCAGTGTGGCATTCTAGCAAAAGTCATCACAAGTAACGACACTGTCGAATATCAAGCAATTCCATAATGGCCAAATATAAAGACGCAAATTAATGTATGAGACTTCAGGCTACTCCTCTCACCTTGTTGACTTCATAGGCTGGAACGAGATTTCTTAATGCATAAAACATAAATGATCATAAATGAATAGTGCAGAAAGAAAATTACCATAAAGTCCCTTTTTTTATGACCCTGGACAATGAACTTTGCTATATCTCGAGAAATTATATAACCTGGACCATGAGCCCAAGGTGGATATGAGGAATGAGGCCATTCCTGCACAGAATGATCAATATTTCAAATTAAAGTAGAAAATGTATAGTACCTGTGAATTGAGATCTTCTACCTCACTTTTCTTACTTCTGTAGTGCCTCTATGTGGGGAACTGGGATATGTAGCCTTAGTCCCAAAAGAGTTTGAGTTCGGCTATATGGGGGGAGGGGGGTAATTGCTTAAATTATATTGATGCATTTTGGTACCCCAACTATTAAATAAAGAAAATGAGCATAACATATGAAATTTGTCCTAAATTATCTAACAGTATAGCCTGAGCTTCGTATACTTGCTTTAGAAAATTATACAGAATATTTTAATTAATTAATTAACTCACTTGTCACGGCTAGTTAAAAGCGCAATTATCTTCAAGAATTCATTTAAATGTCTTCCCGATTGAAGTTTTAGCTGAAATTTGGTATGAGTAAACTAGACTTAATAAATAAGATGCTCAAAAAAATTCATCAAAAAATTCCACCGGGAACCGCCCCAAATGGCGACGGCAGGACAGAACCTCCTATATAAGAGCTTATTTGACCTTTTTTATGTAAGTTTGAGGGCGTATCTGACCTTTTTCCCTTTAGATAACAATAGTCTTACCAATTTAGGGGGGAAACGCAACATGTAGCCAATGTAGTCATTACAGCATTGTCAAGGTTATCAAGTATGATTATTTTGACCAGAAACTCAAAATGATATTATTCTGAAACATTTAGATGCGCTTAAGGTATCAATTCGCTTCATTCAATAGTTGAGATACTAAAATGCAACATTATCAATAGTTATAATACTGCATATGCTATTATCATCTCACATTGGTGTGACTTGTGTTCATGATTGATGGGGAGGGAACTAGAGTTGGCATCGCTTTTCATCAAAATTTATGTTTGCACCCTACTTTCGAATTCATCTATACTTGCATCATGAAAATCACAAAATACACCCCTTTTTCTTACAAGTTCCACCTCATTTTTAATCTTTTTTTTTAACTTTTAGATCCAAATATTAATGGTTTAAAAAATGAGTTGCAAACTCAAAATTTGGACGAAAAGTGGTGCACAATAAAAAACGTGATAGAAAATTTGAGCTCGTACCTCAGTACTGATGTACCATTTGTTCTCCTTGTCCCGATGGGGAGAAGATTCAAAAGCAACTCGGCCATACAAGAGACTGGTGGAATGCTTATCTTTGAGGCTTGAAAGGATTTCATCTATCCTTACAAATGCATCATCATCCGTTTTCATTATATAGTTAGCCTGGAGAAATTTTACCTAACAGGGAAAAAAAGTAAAAGCTCATGAGAGGGAATACTCTTGATTAGTATATTCAGACTTGAAACTCTATTCTAAGAGATCAACATCATAGAAAAAGTAACCAATTATGTTGCAGCAGGAAATGTGTGAATCATGAAATATGGCATGGGGAATTTCCATTTTTAATTGGAAATAAATTGCTATTAAGGTTTTTTAGAGTTCTAAATGTGGAAATGCTCCCTTGTAAGAGTTTCTGTGCATTATAGATAGTTGAATATATTATGTGTTTTGTTATTTTATATTGTGATAATGTGAGGGCTTAACAACATTTATCTTATGTGGAAATGATGACAATGACAAGCAATATTGTAAAATGCCCTAGTGAGTAGTGACTAGGCTGTACAGTTGTACATACCCCAAGAATGCATATGGCAACCGTTTTCAAATTGAGCAATGTGTAGTAATCAACAAAAGGCATCAGTTGAATATCTTTGTATGTTTGAGCTTCTTTCCAAATTTCCAAATTGACCTGCTTGCTTGTATGCTACATCCAAGTTTAAACAAAATAAAATCAACTCCTGCTATCTGAAATTAAAAATTAATACATTGATTTAATCTGTACTAACTTACAAGACCAATGAAAAACCGGACAGCCACTTGCCCAGAGCGTACAGCTTCATACTGCATCCACGTTCTTCTCAATGCCATCCGTCTCTCAAAATTGTTTCCCATTGAGAATACTCCGATCAGCATTGTAAGTCGTTTCTTGCCACTTAATAATGGAGCTTTGAGTTGTTCAACATCAGCCAAATCTGGATCTTGAGAAACTGGCAGTCCTTTTGCTAAGGCAGATATGATGTCCAACCCACCTCCCACACAGACTTTGTTAACCGACCATGGCTCCAGTTTCTGCACAATTGCAAGCACTACTCAAACCACCACACAAACATAATCTAGAGAATTGCTCTAAATCCGTCTGTAGAAGTGTCTCACATATTAAAACATACTACCTCTGTCCCGCTAAGATTGTCCCATTTTACCATTTTGGTCCGTCCCACTAAGATTGTCCTTTACCTTATTTGGTAAAGTTTATGTGGCTCTAAATCATTCTTACATTATTCTTACTTTATCAATTCAATAGCAACCACATAAACCACTTTGTATAGATTTGCGTGCCACTCCCTCTTGCCCCATTGTTAGTGGGACGGAGGGAGTAATATTTTATGTGTTGCATGGAAATGTGGGAATCATGGGGAAATGGGAAACACCAATTTTTAATAGAAAATCAACTGTTTGGAGAGATTCCATAGAGTTTTCAAAATGGAAACGTACTCTTTCCCCAGAGTTTCTGTGTTTCATAGGATTTATTCTAACATGTCAACTTGTTTTTCTTAGACATGAGTTTGTATCATTATATTTAGCTGGTGTTGGATGGTCAAACATCCTCAGAACCATTCTTACAAACATGTGGTCTGTTTTAGTCTTAGTCAAAGATCATGTGTTTGTTTCAGTTTAATTGACTTTGATAGCATGCTAAGACTTTAGATTTTATGTGACTTTGTATACATATCTTTATATTTGGCCAAGATGGGGATGGTCTATCAAGTAGGGAATTACCCACATATGACTAGGGCTGTTATCGAACCGAACATTTATCGAACAGTTCGATCTTGTGTTCGATTTCGAGCCTTAATGAACCGAGCTTAACGAATTCCGAGTCCAAATACGAGCTTAATTTACAGCTCGAAAAGAAAAACGAACTGAGCTCGAACATGATGGTATTCGGTTCGATACATTACCGAGCCTATCGAACACTTATATAAATACATATATTTTTACCCATATGTCCACTTTACTTGCTTATCTAGTACTTCGTACATAGTATCTCCTAATTCAGATACTTATTATTTATTTATTTCTTATCAATTATGAAATACTCCAATAGTAAATAGTTACCAGATCAGATCGTAATTCTCCAAAAGTAATAGTCTAAATGTTAAAATTGTAAAATCTATCTCCTGAGCCTAAAATACATAGTAAAATTTAGGGTTTCTTAATCTCTAACTTCATCTTCTCGAGTCTCGACTTCTCCCATCGTGAATGGGTAAGTCTGCTTATTTCACCTAAGCATCCACCCACCGGCTAATGATTACCATCGCGAATGGGTAAATCTCCAACTTCATCTTCTCGACTTCTCGACTTCGAACTTTAACATTTCAATTTCTTTGAAACATTCAACCATCTAATATTTTGTTCCTGCATTTGAACTTTGAAGGGTAAATAGGTAGATCCGAATAGAAGTTGGGAACCAAATGTCAAAGCTTCAGAATCTGGTTCGTAGTCTTTGACTCTTCGTACCTTCAATTCGTGGGTTAGTTCTCTTCAGTTACATTTAAGCTTTACTTTTTTAATATATGTATTAATCTGTTTTATTAATTGAATACTAAGTATAAATCATATATATTTCTATACGGTCAATTAAAAACTATCTATTGGTTTTAATTATTGTAGAAGAAGAGCATAATGTCATGAATTGCATTTTCTAAGCATTAACGCTGCAGTGGTTGCACAAAAAAGAACATACTGTCCTATTGTATAGTATGATTCTGTATTATTTTTTTGAGAGAGTATGATTATGTGGGATTCTGTATTGTTGAGTCCATTTCAATATAAGATGCTTTATTGACAAAGAGAAAATGAAATGAGCAAAAGTTTCAGATATGTGTTTATTATTTCTACTATGTAGAGAAGCATGGGTGTTCCTGATGTTTTGAAATTGAGTCAAGTGTCCTATTTTGTTCAGAGATGTGTTTATTATTTCTACTATGTTTTGAACTTCAAAACTTCAATCTCCTTGAAACATTCAACCATCTAATATTTTGTTCTTACATTTGAACTTTGAGGGCTAAATAGGCAGATTAGAATTGAAGTTTGGAACCAAAAGTGCAAGCTTCAAAATCTGGTCCGTACCTTCAATTCGTGGGTTAGTTCTCTTCACTTACATTTAAACTTTACTTTTTGGGTTTTGCTAGGTGTACACAAATATGTACACCTTTTTTATACACTTGTTTGTCCCAGGCAAACAAGTTGTCTGTCATAGACAATTCATATATGAGTTGTCTGTGACAGACAACTTGTTTGCCTGGGACAGACAAGTGTACAAAAAAGGTGTACACATTTTGTGTACACCAAGCATTTTTCTTACTTTTTTTTATTTTTTATATGTATCAATGTGTTTTATCCCTTGAATACTGAGTATAAAACATATATATTCTATATGGTCAATGGTGAGTGGGTTTGTTTATTGTAGAAGAAGAGCATAAAGTCATGAATTGCATTTTTCTAAACACTAACTGCTGCAGTGGCTGCACTAAGAAGAACATACTATCCTATTGTTTAGTATGATTATGTATTGTGGCTGCACTAACTGCTGCAGTGGCTGCACTAAGATGTGTTTATTATTTTACTATGTAGAGAGGCATGGGTGTTCCTGAATCCTGATGTTTTGAAATTGAGTCAAGAGTCCTATTAAAAGTAGCTAGGTAGACTTTGTGGTAACTATGTATTAAAGTTATCTTGGTGGGGTAAGAAACAATCTTGGTCCAAGCACTTACAGTGACCTAAAATACAAAAAGAACGCTTCAGGCATGATGCAGGAGCTTGATAGAATAACTTGGAGCTAGTTATAAAAATTTCGATATTAAGTAGGAGCTTGATTAAATAACCTGGAGGTAGTTATAAAAATTTATAAGTACTTGCTCTTTATTGTACTTGGTAATGTTGGTAACTAAAATGACTAAAGGGGAACTATATACTAGGTAGCTAAAATAGTTAAAATGCTGCAAAATCATACTGAGTAACATTTATTTGTATGATGTATTGCCCATGTTTCAGATTTATGCAGGCACCATCCACCAGCATCCTACCTTTTAGTGAAGGGTCAAACTTAATTTATATAATGGCAGAAGAAGTTGATACCTCTATCAACACCGATCAGTCACATGTAGAGGAGATGGCAGATATACCTGACGAGACTCAGGCGGGGTATGATGGAGGTGAAGAGCCTATAATTGAAGAATCAGATCTGAATTTGAACAAAGAAAGAGCAAAACGGTCAAAAATTTGGGAAGATTGTTTCACTAAGATAAAGAATGCCAAAGGAGTGGTGGTAAAAGTTCAATGCACTCATTGTAAAGTGAAGTTGTCTTGGCAAAGGACTGGCACCACAACGCATTTAGGTAGACATATGAAGATGTGTTCTCAAAGGAAGGCATCTATGAGGCAGCAGGGTCTACTAAACTTTCAAGCAAGCAATTTGAGTATGCCTTCTCTAGCTCCAGCAGTTGTGGGGGGGGGGAGTACGATCATGGAAAAATGAAGGAAGCTATTTGTCACTGGAACATGATGCATGAACATTCATTCTCCATCGTAGAAGAAGAAGGGTTCAATTTTATGATGAAAGTAGCTAATCCTTTTTATGAAAGAATTGATCGAGTTACTTTAAGAAATGACTGCATCAAAGTTTATGAGCACGAAAAGAAAAAGGTACAATCTATGCTCTCTAACGTTTCAAAGATCAGTTTGACGACTGATTTATGGAAATCAAAGAATCAAAAGATTGGTTACATGATAGTCACAGGCCATTTTCTGGATGCTGAGTGGAAGCTCAACAAATGGGTGCTAGATTTTGTTCATATTCTACCACCACACAGTGGCGATAATATTTCAGATGCTTTGTACAAGTGTTTGAGAGATTGGGGAATTGAGAACAAGATTTATACTATATCAGTAGACAATGCTTCAGCTAATGACACTGCAATCAAGAACTTGAGGGAAATCTTTGCGATGAAGAAAGATTTGGTTTGTGGGGGAAAGCTTTTTCATGTGAGGTGTTGTGCACAAATCTTGAATCTTATTGTTCAAGATGATTTGTCTAGAATCAAATGTGTAATTCAAGATATAAGGGATAGTGTCTCTTTTCTTAATCAAAGTGAAGCTCGAATGAACACTTCCTGTGAAGTTGTTAAACAATTGCAAGTGTCTAGCAGAAAACTCATACTGGATTGCAAAACACGTTGGAACTCAACATATGATATGTTGCACTGAGCATATATGTTCAAGGATGTATTTCCAATATATCAAAGAAAGGAACCTAATTACACGTCATGTCCATCAAGAGAAGATTGGGAGAAGGTAGAGAAAATTCTTGATATTTTGGTGGTTTTCTCGAATCTGACCAATATAATATCTGGAAGTGAATACCCAACGAGCAACCTTTTTATGGTTGGAGTTTGTAAGATTAAACAAAGCTTAGACAATCGGGAAAGTGATGAAAGTGCATTTGTGAAGGATATGGTCGACCAAATGAAGAAAAAGTTTGACAAATATTGGGGAGAGTGCAATTTACTCATGTCTATCACTGCTGTTCTTGATCCAAGGGTGAAAATGAGGGCTTTGGACTTCTGTTTTTCTAAGATATATCGTGAATCAGAGGTAGACCTCAACATAGAAAAGGTGAAAAGTGCTTTGCTTGAGCTATATAATGAGTATGAGACCATGGAAAAAAGTTCTACTCTAGGGAAGAGAAAGTTTAGTTCTTATCAGTCCACTTCAAGAATGAATTCATCTGCATCCGACTTTGATGAGCTACATGCATATGTGAAAGAAGTAGAGACTATCCGGCCAAATAGAACAGATTTGGACATGTATTTTGAAGATGGTTGCTATATTTGCTCAGAAGGATCTTCTGAATTGTTTGATATTTTAGCTTGGTGGAAAGGAAACCAATCAAAGTACCACGTTCTTTCAAAAATGGCAGCTGATATCTTGGCGATTCCAATAACTACAGTGGCTTCCGAGGCTACATATAGTGCTGGAACAAGAGTAATTGACGTGTATCGTGCATCACTATCAGTTCAGACAGTAGAGGCACTACTTTGTGGAGGAGATTGGCTTAGAAATCTTCATGGGGTAAAAAAAATGCAAAGTGAGCAGCTTATGTGACTTCAATTTTATTCTTCACAATGATTATGATTATGATTAAAAGGTTGTGATGCTCATTTCTTAAATCAACTTTCTCTTTTGCAGGCGTGCAAGGAACCGAAAATAATTAATCTGCCAATACCATAGATGATCAAACAAGGAGCTTTAATGCAGTGGACAAGTCTCATATTCTGTGAATTACTGATTGGAATATGAATTATTGCTCACTATATTTGACTATTTTGCTTTTAATATTTTTGAACATATAAACTAGCTTGGCTCCTGAATTTGAACATAGTTGCTTGGATATCTAATGCTTATCTGCTGCACAAGGGATCATTAGTAAGTTTTTGGTAGAGAAAACATTACTTGGTGTATTTGTTAAGAGTAAATAGCAAAAGAACTAAACTTGGTGTACTGGCTAATAGCAAAAGAACTAAACTTTTGAACATAGTTGCTTGGTGTATGTATTCTCTATAGTATTGTATATGTATGTATTTACTCTTATCTGGACAGGTCTTATACTCTTATTTGCTTGGATAGATCATTTTTTCTTCTAAAATGATTCTTTGCAACTTATTGGCTGTCCATTATTGTCCAAAAAGGAATATTGTGATGCATTTTTGAATTTTTGTTGTATGTAAGTGATGATAATTTTTGGAGGTGTACGTAAGAGGAAAGGAATTGATGACATTCTTACTGAATTTTATAGGTTTAGTAATTGAGAGAATTTTTTCTTCATTAAACGAGCTTGTGTTCAAACTCGAGCTCTAATCAAAGTATTTTTTTCGTACACTTTTCCGAGCCTATCGAGTATCCGAACCGAGCTTCGAACACACATCAAACCGAGCTCGAGCCTAATAAATAGAGCTCGTCGAGCTTCGAGCTTGAACTCGAGCAGTATCAAAACACTATCGAACCGAGCTCGAGCCTATGCTGTTCGGGCTCGGCTCGGTTCGTTAATAGCCCTACATATGACCTCTACTTCAATTCTTATACATAGTTGGGTCTGTAAGGATTCTTCGAATTTAAATTTAAAATGGTATTAGAATCTGATCTGGAGATGGTTTGTGGGCATTCTTCCACCATGAGAGTTTGGGACAGAACCATTTGGAGGTAGGCTTGGGGAATATGATAAGTACCTAACAACAGAAGTAGTCTACCAGAGTAATAAACCACACATCACCTCTCTATAGGAAAAAGAAGTTTCATGTCTTCCGTTTACAGTCATATGAAATCCTTCCAGACCAGCCCATAATGTTGCAGTAAACGGGTAACCTTGGACGAATGGAAAATCGGGTCTTGCATGTGCAGTTCCATTTGAACCATCAGCCCGATTCAAGCTTTCCAGATGACTAGCATTTGAAATATGTTGCAAGTTGCTTCTTATGATTTTTGCATTACACATTGCAAGTCCATCAACTGAAAAAAAACACAGGTAGAAGAAAAAACATTACTATGTCCCAAAAAATAGTCTTGTTTCAAATAATCAATCAAAAGATGCTTAATTTTTCATGTAAGTTGTGGACATACATACATACATAAATGACTCACAGGGAAGTGAAGTTGTATTTGACAAATATAGATATGAATAAATAAATTTGAGAAATATGTGTTCGAGCCCCACATCTGAAAATTAAAGAGAATGATGCGTTAACAGGGCCTAGTTGAGTGAATTCTATCCTTATACATATGATTGCATTATGACAGTTGTATGTAACCAAAATAAAAAATAGTTGTGCATTTGTCAAAAAAACTGACAAATAAGAACTAGATTAACTAAGTTCCTATGTTCCAGAAATTGGATTTCAGTTTTAAACATTCAATTGCAAAAATGGCATGAAAATTGAAATAACTAAAAAAGCATTAGCATATTTTCACCTCCTGGTGTGTCAGATGAGCCACGATCCGGGCATCTCTCCTCTTTGCCCCACCCAGATGCGTTAGTCCATGCATTCTGAATGATAATGGGACTCTTTGTCAAGTTCTGACCTGGCAAAACAACATTATAACTCAATAATATAGGAGGTGTTACATCCTCAGGAAGCTGAGAACCAACTAGATCAATCCGGAAACTCTCCTGTTCAGAATCGGGCATCCCAATCACAGTAATGGATGAGTCTTCAATTAAACCACATGGGATTTCAAGAATACTCTCATTCTTCGATAGTGTTTCATTAAAAAGACTCACAGAGTATGTACACTCTTTACCTTCTTTCTCATCCAATGATTTATCCTCTTCAGTTATTGATAACAACAACTCTTTCCAAGCCAGGGAAGCCTCCTTGATTCCCTGGGCAGTATTAGGCAGTGCATCTGACCGCGATAATAAAGACCTCATTTCACCCCACACAAGCATAGCCACAGAGTCTGAAACATTATGTGAGCTATATAAATCAACTAACCCATCAAAGTTGACAAAATGTGGCTTCCCTTTAAACCTAGAATGATTGGTTTCCTTCACTGGAGGCATTACCTCCTCCACATTATCATCACTAATATCTTTTGCATAATCCTCAACATTATAAGTACTACTTGGCGGATGACTGTTGAAAAAATCATCAGCTGATTGTTTCTGCAGTGGTTTTTCGATGGAGCTATATCGAAATAGCAAAGTAACAGCAAGACCAAGAATAAGCAAACATCCTGCCCATTTCTTCATTCTTTTTTTATGCCAGCCGCCCAGCCCAAAGTTTGTGTTTTTGACTGCCTAACTCTGTCAAAATTGACAAAACAACTTTAAACATCTCACATCAACTAAATTTAAAAGTATAACTTAAAATTTAATGTTTTGGATGGATTAAAATCTAGTTAAACATGAAAACAACCAAAATATTAAGACTTGTGTTCTACCTTAAGGGATTAACAACACAATAGGAGTAACCAAGATTCACTTGTGATTTTGTATCTTGAAATTATGCAGGTCTGGAATGGTTTAGCACAAATTCACTTAGTAAATAAAGAAAAATGAATCTTTTTTCTGCTTTAGAGGTAAATAAATAGATTTGCTCATTTTCTCCCTCTGCATTTTCTGGGTTAGGATTCAGTTGGGAATTAGGGACCAATCTTGAAACTCAGAAAGTAAGCACCTTTGTATAAAGAAGTTTATAGGATTCAAATCTTCTTAAAATGTAATGAATGAGTATAAGAAGCTGCATATGGACCTTCCGATCTGAAAGAAGCAAACAAGTCAGTTTGTTGATTTAGCTAGAGCTGGAGTGAGGTCTGAAGTGAGGTAAGATTGGCTTCTAAAGTTCAGCTGACTGTAGTGTCATTTTCAGCTGAAAGTGGGGGGAAGGGCCACGGCGTATTTGCTCTTGTGCCGGAAGTAGGAACAAAAATGCCCACCACGACCGGCCGACGTGTGATTTCCGATGAGCTGTTTGCTGAATATAGGATGTCTGGTACTTACCAATTTACTCCCTCAGTAATTGAAATTCATACTCCGTATTCGATTTGAATTATGTTACATTTACATTTCATTTCTTTTGCAAATACAGTACTATGTTACATTTCATAATCTACCTCTCTACAAAATAAAATGGAAAAACTGATGAGTCATTAAGGGATGTTTGCAACTGCTTCTGCTAAAAAAATCACTTTTTGAAAAAAGTGATTGTAGTAAAAGTTGATAGTGTTTGAGAAAAAAAGTGATTTTGAAAAGTAAAAGTTGTAGTGTATGACAAAATAAGTGTTTTTTGTGTAATAAAAAAAGTAAAAACACTTTTGACACGAAAACCGAGAAAAATAAAAGTTGGTAGTATTTGATAAGATAAGTGCTTTTTAAGCCAAAAACTGAGAAGTGCTTTTTTTTAAGCAGTTGCAAGCCAATTTCATTTGACCAAGGTATAGGGATGGCAACGGGGCGGATTTGGGGCGGGGGTTCACTCCCTCATCCCCGCCCAATGTCTAAAAAGTTCCCTCATCCCCGCCCCATCCCCTGTCACTCCCAGACCCGCCCCATCCCCGCCCCGCCCCGATGTCCCCCACGGGTGCCCACGGGTGCCCCCATATATATTTTATTTATCTTATTTGTGTATTTTTTTAATCCATTTTATAGATAAATAAATATATATAGCAATGAAAGAGTTAAACTAGATAATATTGTGTTCGATAAAAGATGGTACCCGCGAATTTTTAACAATTCTTCAATTTGAATAAGTTCTATGAAAATAATAAAACTAAAAATATAAATAAACATATTACCATCATATATGTCATTCCAAATTTCTCATCAATTATACTACAATTGATTATATATATTATACATACGTGTGTGTGTTATTTACTTAGTTTCTCACTTTTAAAACTCATATATATGAGTTTTAAAAGTGAGAAACTAAGTAAATATTATCATTTATGATAAAGATTTTTAGTCATTACTTATTATTCTAATATAATACTTACGTAGTATTAGTTCATTAATCATGACTAATACACGTACATGTATGCATGTCTATAAGTATGTGTATGTGTTTGTTAAATAGTATAATATAATTTAATTAAATATGTTTATAACCATTATTAATATATGTATGTATATATATGTATGTTTGTGTATATATTTATAACGGGTACGGGGCGGGAGCGGGGCGTATGTAGTAATCCCCATCTCCGTCCCATATTTTAGCGGGGTAGAAATATCTCACTCATCCCCGCCCCCGCCCCACCCTAAACCCCGCCCCATCCTTTCCCCGCGGGGCGGTTCCCCACGGGTCCCCGTCCCCATTGCCATCCTTACTAGGGTCGTTCATTTGTCTATTCACAGTGTATCTTGCGTGATAATTTCATTATAATCTCAAGGGATCTATTCTTAATTAAAGGTAATGATGTCAAAATATATGTTATTGACTAAAACAATATTCTTTTCGTTTTTTGTTTTCCATTGTCATAGGATCCGAAAGTTATATGGGAGGCACGATCACATTATGCTAACCATCAACTTAATAATAACATTATTGTAACAAATCATAGCAATAAAACATAACAAATTCATTCAAAAACGTTGATGTGATGATGCTAAATCCAACCTACATGTTCTCATGTCGTGAATATCAATAGTTAAAAAAGAGCCTCTTTTTATATCTACAAAAAAGAAAGTTTCACAAAATGAAAATTTCATTAGGAATTATAGAATTAAAGAGAGGGCAGAATGGCTCAAGATTCTTGTATGGGATTGATAATAGTCCATAGAATGGCCTCCAAGAAGTTTTCTTCTAATTTACATTAGTGCACTCAATGGGGGGAATGACGAATGGAATGGGGGATTGGGGGCATGGCTGTTTACCAGAGTGATAACTATACAGCTTATCAGATAACTATAAATGTAGTTTTAGCACGAAAACTTTCGGAAAAGACTATGTTTCCATTTTTTTCGACAATTCTTTCTAATCTATATAGTATCTGTTCAATGTTAATGCCAACATCCTTGAACTGGGATGGGATGGGAAAAGACTACGTTTCCGTTTCAGAAACTCTAAGAACTCTTTGAAAACTCTTTGAGCAAAAGTTGACGATTTTCGTTTTCCATTTGTTTTCGTGCAACATAGACAATGTAACATGAAAAATAATGTTGATTCAAAATATATATACTTGTTGGGTTAATGGCCCAAGCCGAGGTCCGGCCCATTAACCCCCTTTTTACTGGACGCACGTCCGCAGGCCACCAGGCTGGCCGCAGGCCCATGTCCCTTGGGAAGGGACGGACGTCTGGAATTGGGGGGTTCAGGTTCAATGGCCCATCGCGACGAACGTCTGTGCAGGGACAAGGAGCAGGACCACGGGCCATCAGGGATGACGACGAACGTCCCCAGAGCAAGCCCATAATTATCGGAGGGAATCCGGTCCACTGGGTGAGAATCCATAAGGCCAGGGGACGGACAGCCGAAGCCTCTCGAGGGGCACTTGGGGCAATCCAGCTCGCTTCCCGAGCGGACGAACGTCCCCACTATTTAGGCGGGAAACCTAGATTCTGGCGGGAAGTGCATTTAATGCTGAAGATTTGGTGGTTGGGACACCAGCGGTCCACAGGCCTCCACGTCAGCATAGCCACCTGCCCATTGGCGGGTATAAATAGAAGCATTTATTTCATTGTAAAGGGTTGGCAACTTTCTATTCTTAGCATTCAAGCTTTAGCATTCTTACTCGCAGCACATCTACTGCCTTGTAAGACGAACGGCCGACGGAGCCTTAGCAAAGAGTATTGTATTAGGGAGTTATTAAGAGATAATAATACCTAATCACTTACTTGCTACTTTCTTGCTCTCTCTAATCAATATCATCTGCTTGTTGGGCTAGTTTAATCACACACACTCCATTCGAAATCTTTGGGCTTACGTGTTGGACCCGGGGGTTGAAGGAATAAACATCAACACTGGCGCCGTCTGTGGGAACTGAACTAGAAGTTTCCAAACTCTCCCAAACAGCTACCAAATCTACCCACAGCAAGCAAGATGACAAGAAACAACCGTCAACGTGACCTTTCCGAGCAGCTGTCCCGCGGACGAAGCAACCGCGGACAAACCACGGAGCGCTCCGAGACGCTGGGGACAACTGGGGGTGAGGGTGGCCTCACAAACCTCATCCCCCATGAGGCCAGACGCGACCCCCGACTCATGAGGGACTTGGCGGAAACAATGCGCCGAATGGCGGACGAACAGGAGGCGAATGAAGAGGTGCACTCAGCTAACACCATCTGGACGCCCATATCACCCATCCACCGCATGCAGTCCCTGGATGAGACGGCAGAGTCAGCCGGGCGCCGGACGCCCATCCACATGAGGTTGGGCCAAAATCCGTCCTCCCACGGGGTTGGGGGGCACACCAGCGCCAGCACCCCCCGTTATGGTTGGCAGGATGACCATCGGGGACGCACGCCGGATGTTCCCTCAGAGCAGCGGGGCACCGCCATTACCCCCGCCGCCAGTAACATTGGACGACGTTTCCAAAGACATGGCGCCCATATCACGCGGAGGCAACCCGACGCGGTTGCCCCACGAAGGAACGTTGCGCTCGAGGCCGCCCCTCCTGTGTCCCCCGGAAGGGCCGCACAGGAGGCCCGGCTAGAGGCAATGGAACGGCGAATAGCCGAGATGGACAGACGGGTGGAGGCCACGACAGCCACACCTCGTTTCTCCCTCACTTCACCTTTCACTCCGAGGGTCATGAATGCAGAGATCCTGCGGGACTGCAGGCCCCCCCAAGGGATAGTGTACAATGGGACCGGAGATCCTAGGGCTCACCTGATCAGCTTCCAGGGGAACCTTTCTATGCTGGGAGCGTCCGATAAGGCCATCTGCCGGCTCTTCTTCAGCACCCTGAGGGGTCCGGCGCAAGATGGTTCGGGCAGCTGAGGCCCGGATCCATTGATAATTACGAACAGCTGTCCCAGCAGTTCATGGCACAGTTCGCTGCCAGCACCACCCCCAAGAAGAGCTTCACATCGCTCACGAGTGTGAAGCAGGGGAAGGACGAACCTCTGGCCCAATTCCTAGTCAGATGGAGAGACGAAGTACTCCAGGTGGATGACCTGGACGAACGGCTGGGAGTAAACATGTTCACCAGTGCTCTAGCAACGGGGGACCTATACCGGGACCTTCGGAGGAACCCCAGCACCAGCTATACCGAGGTGCTGGCTCGGGCGCAGAAGTATGCCTCCATTGAGGAGGAGATCAGATTGAGGGACGGCGCGCCTGCAGCCCCTTCCCGAAAATTGGCGGATAGGCTCGGTCCCGGAGGCGGGCCATCCCCCCGAGCAAAAAGAAGAAGACGGACGGCGGCATAGTTCCGTGGAAGGCTCATCCGGAGGCCAGCCGCGTACGTCCGGAGGAGTACCGCGTCCCCCTGGCTTACCCCGTCAGTCAGATTTTCGACGCCATCAAAGACAAGGGCATCCTAAGGGAGCCCCCAAGACAAAAAAGCGCTTATGGGTCTTGATGAGACCGCATATTGCGAATACCACCAGAGGATCGGCCACCTCACCGACAACTGCAAGCAGTTGAGAATGGCCATTGACGAACTGATCCGGCAAGGCTACCTGGGCGAGTTTACCCAACTGTTGAAGAAGAATACCCCGAGGCAGCCGAATCCGAGGTCTCGATCATGGCGCCGCGACGATCGGCGCGAGGCGGAACCGAAGGACGTAGACTATCGGAGTGCTGACAAACGTCTGGAGGGGTCCCTCGGCCCGAACGGCGGGAAGAAGAAGTTGGAGATCAAGGTGATCTTCGGGGGCGCTGAGACTGGGGACACGCCTGCGGAGCGGAAGAAGTTTGAGAGGTCCCTCTATGTGGGTTCCATATCAGCTCCCCCCACTAAGAAGAGCAAGGTGGAGGCCATCACCTTCGGACCGGCCGACCTACCGATGTCACCAGCCCCTCACAGGGATGAGTTGGTGATCAGCATGGATGTCAACAATGCGATTGTCCGACGCGTCCTTGTTGATACGGGAAGCAGCGTGAACGTCCTCTATTGGGAG